AAGCCATCTGGGAGAGTACTGTCGTTCACTGTAGTTAGAAAGCTTTTGGGGGACTTTTAAACGAAGATGCCCAGTACAATCTACTGTATCTGTAGCCAGCAAACGAATTTCTTCTTCATTAAGATGTTTTAAGCATTTCGTTGTTTAGCTCATCATACACTTGCCTGGGGTAACAGAAACATCGTGTAAATTGGAAGGTCAGAAAATGTTTTTACCACTTCTTTCATTCTTCCTCTTGTGATGTCATAATTGAGACACAACTTACGCTTTTCCAACATTCTGAGTTCATAATTAGTAATATGACTAAAACGATTTTTGGATAGTATAGAAACAAATCCTTTCTCTTCTTTCTGTCCCATACTTATCAGCAACTAATTATTGGAAAACAAATTTCTCCATACATTTATAGTGCCCATACATCTGGTGTGCTTTCAAGCAGCCTCTGGTGAGAGTGGAATATATACTGGACCTTCAAACACTGGTGGTATCTGTAAAAGATCCCCTAAAAGAAATAGGTTTCGTCGACCAAACCATCCATTATAAGCTTTTCCAACTTGAAAAATCTCTGTATGGTGAATATGTATGTACACTAAAGTTCAATTACTGGCCATGTATATCTCGTCAGTGATGAGTAATGTAACATTATGCAAGTTGTCATGCACAATTTTCAGGGCATCATCAGACATGAGCCAATATTGTGGTATCTTTCCATGTTCCATTGGCAGCATCAGCAGTCGGCGAATAGTTAACTCATTAATATTAAATGCAGCAATACCTAGGGGTGCTGCAATGACAATATCCTTACAATTTGCTAATTGAATCCATGCTTTAACAATGTTTATTTAAAAACTCTTCGCAGTACTGTCAGACCCGTGAACAAAAAACCTAAGCATTTCGGTATTTCAATTTGAATCATCACTTCTATATTCCAATCATTTCATTCACATCTACTTTCTCACCATGGTGAATAAAATCTTGAAATTCTGCCATAACATCGTGTGCCTCAGTAGCAGCATAGTGCAATGGACTACCAGCAAAAGGATCACTGCTTTGCCGTTATTCAGCTTCCATCACTACTCGACGTTCTTATGAAACAATTGGTCTTGATATTTCAAACCATCCAACAAGTATTAAATGTCTTGGAGTAAATGGAACAGTCTCTCATTAAGCTATCGCATTCTCTCCAGGGGTTAAACGACAAGAGCATGGAATAGAAGTATTTCTCTGGTTCTAGCTGTGGGTTAAATCTGTAATGGTTGATTATGTATGATTGTATCATTAAAAAATAGCAATCAAGCATAAGATAGAATATAACATTATCACTGGGCTGCTTCTTCAAAATGTTGTACTAAGGTAAAGAATCATATAAATTAGTATCCTTAAGCTCGGGTGGTCTGTTGGGATAATAAGTATCAATCAAGGAAGGATACAGTAGATCATCAGCATCCTCAGACAACCCAGTTATAATGTGGTGCTCCTTAACTATACAAGTGTGAACTATGTTTACATCAACCCATCATAACTCAGTACCTGGATCTGTGCTATTCAGTGGTATACCCAATAATGTGTCACCAGCTTCCAGAGCACCACATTTTCGATTAGAAAGGCTCCTTAATGCAACATTCCATAAACGAATAGCTAGTAGTTTGGTGGAGGTTAACTCAGTAAATACAGTATTGCCACAACTTTTTTCTGCTTTAGTTGTGTACTTTGTGATATATCAATTCAGAATCGTTGACTTCTCTCCTACAAATTATAGATCTATATTACCCTCCCAAGCTAACAACACTGCAGGGTTGTAGTCATTTATCATATGCTCATTATTTTTATCTGGAAGATCGTAAGGAATTGGCAATCAATGCTTTCCTTCCAACTATCAATTCAACATCACTATGAAGATATAGTTTTCCATTTCAGATCTTGGGAAACCAAATCGACAAACTATCATAATATCAGATTTGGTTTTCTTTGACCTTGAGCAGAAATTGTTGCAGCAGTGAAACTGGTATTTTTATACTTTTTCATGTAAGCTTGGACATAAGCTTTGATGTGGAATCTTGAAAGTAACATATTTCAAAATAAATGCGACAACTTCTTCATCTATGTTTTCCCTAATCACAGGAACACCATTTATCCAAAGCTGTAAGTGAAAATGTTGTAATCCAGGTCCTTGATATTCTCGTTTCCAAAAATACTGGGTGATTGTGCTAATAGGAGCATCAGTTGATGTAAGGAATTCTAAGATTTCTTTAAACTTGTTATCAATAAATTAAGATTGTTTGTTTGTTTGAAGTTAAGCACAAAGCTACACAATGACCTATCTGTGCTCTGCCCTAATTTCTAGCATTGTAAGTCCGTAGACATACCACTGTGCCATTGGGGGCATAAATATAGAAACTGATATTGGATAACTGCAACCAATGAACTAGTGGTTAGAGGAGCCAGTTCAGAAGGATTCATTTTACATAAATATTCGCCCAAATCATCCCACATCCACTCAACAGGTAAGAAACGAAGTAGCTGGATTATAATGCAGAGTCATTGCATTTAGGTCGTTTCGCTGTCGTCATTAGTACTTTTGACTGTTTCGTAAACGAGTAAATATACTGGTCAAATTCCCTTCAAGCTCTTTATTTTCTAATATTTGTAAGTACCATCCAGCAATCAACTTCTCATGCAGGCGAATAACTTGTAATTTGTGAAAGATATCACTGTTTAGCTGATGTATGATGGCAATGATAAAAATGGTAGAACATAAATTTCTGATATAATTGAAATCAAGCAATGTGTGATTGCTTTCTAGTTTCAACATGACATTCCAATTCTGTGCCTCATTTTCTTATCCTTCATTCCAAGTCCAATCTGTATGATCTTTCTGGGATGCAGGACCAGAGCATTACAGCTCTAAGACAGAAATATGTTCATAAAAGTTGGACATTTGAGCCAACCAGGACCCTGTTAATTGTTTCCCTTTTTATGCTCCAGCCAATATCAAAGCAGGTTATATGAGTTTCTTTGTTTCACAATATATTCTAAATCAGCTTCAGTGTTTCAACTGTTATCGGCATGGCCATTCCAAGACTGTCTTTCGTTGAACTCCTTCCTTGATTTACTGTAACAGCAAAGATTACGGTGGCAGTTACTGTGAAGTACATCAATTGCGTGTTAAGGTTCAGGACTCATACCTCTCTTATTCATGTTCATGCTCCAAGTGTAAGTGAAGTGAAGGAAGTGCAGCATTGAATAATATAACTTACATTGAGACAGTTTTCGTTGGTCAGGAAAGACTATTTGCGTGACGTGTTCAGGGGAGTGGTTCTTCTTGTTAGCTACCCTCAGATTACAGCATATCTTCAAAGTAACAGATGGATAGGACAGAGAGAGAAACTATTAAATCAATGGCAGAAAATAGTTATCATGACAAAGAATATGCCATAACTGCAAAATGGAGAGGTTCTGACTCTGTGTTAGAAATCTCCCCATCTCTTTTGTTAAGTGTATCCATTAAAATAACCAAGAGGGCAGCTGAGAAGGTACACCATGAAGTACGGCTTGACTTATATCTTTCTCCTAGTGGCAAATAAAGTGTAAAAGTATGTCATCAGAAAAAGTAACAGGAATGGTTACCCTAGTAATCTTTAAGTTTGGCCATAGAAGAAATATAAGCTGCAATAATTTCCCATCATTTTGAGAAAGAATAACTGCAGTCAGTTCTATCTAATTTGCATATATCTACGGATGTTGAAGAACTCTAATTGGAATTCCTATGTACCATCTGAAAAATCTTAGGACAATTTTTACACACTCCCTCTCCGTGGTAGACCCCTTTCTGTCAAATAGCATATTGGTCACAGAAATTAGTCTAAGGTGTCTTATACAAATACCTTATTCTTGCCTATCTTATAAACTTTTGGAATGCTAAAGCCTAAGATTAATAGATCAACCATCAGAGTAAGAAGGAATCTTGGATCAAGGCTACTTACGGCACTTCTTCAAAAATTTGTTCTAAGATGGTCTGGGAAAAAATTGTTCAATGGCGACTACATCTATCTTCCCTTTATGGTCTTGCAGCCCAATGAACAAGATGTAACTGATTTACGTTGAATTAACAACATCGCTAAAAAGCATTTTCCCATAATTGACTTAACAACATCGCTAAAAAGTATTTTCCTATAACTATTGTACTTTCACTGGTTTCCATGTGTTCTTGGCAATCGAATGACATGCTAAATGAATTCCATTTAGTTCTGGTCTAATTATTTGATAGATTTCGGCGAACATTAACATTTATGGAACTCATTTATGCATGTGTATGCGTATCACAGTGTCAAATGGTTTGACTTTAGCCCATCCTCTAGTTCTTTTCAACCAGATCTGGCTAGAGGAGATATATTTTAGCAATATCGATGTTTTATTGTTATTTCTTTATTCAAAATATTCCAAGATTGCATACAATTATAGAACCATTGCTTTGACTAGTTGTCTGTGTAAAGTTCTTGAGAAAAGGATAGTTAATTTTCCTCTTTTTGTAATTAATCTAATCAAACAACTTCATTTACAACACGTAGTGTAGCATTTGCATATGGATATCCGTCAACTTAGGCTTTCAGAATAATAATAATAACATTCTATCTAAATGTTTCGATCATCAGAATGCATGTGATACTGTACGTAGGTACAGTACCCTACGTGGTCTGTTGAACATGAATTTTATAGGCCATTTTTGTCACAATCTTCTTAGCAACGGATCGTTTGGAGTTAATATGCGATCAAGTTTGCCATCGCTGTTTTATTCTGAAAAACAATAAAGAATATTTATCCGAAATTTGTTTTTAAATTCAATTGAAACTTATGATACAATAATAAAACTAACCGTGATATTTAAAAATGTTTTTTTTTGCAAAAACAACATCAGAATATATGATTGTATTTTTAATATTCTGATCTTACGAAATTCCACAATACCTAAGGTAACATATGCTATTTTGCTTGTATTTCAGAGTAGATTATGGACAGCAACCTTATATGTGGCCCAAAGTATCACTATGGCTATCAGTGCGATTTTGGCAGACTATATGAGATCAAGAAAATGTATGAATATAACAGATATTCGAAAACTCCTTCAATCAATTGGTAAGTAAATCGGTAAAAACATTATATTTCAACTTAAATTGATTATTTTATTTTAGTGTTTTCTTCAATTTGATGTTTACAACTTCAGCTTGTAAAGCATGTAGTGCTTTATCCTAACACCCTTGAAATTCGATCTACATTCATCTTGTTAAGCATTTGTATATGCATTTAATTTTTATCTTGAGCTCATTATAAATTACTAATTACTACATTATAAAGTACGTATTTAAAAAAAAATTAACATACTCACATTTATTTTAGCTATATTGGGATCGACATTGTGTTTTGTAGCTATTGCTCACGTGGGATGTAACTACTACACCGCCATCTTCGTGCTGATCTTGGAAACCAGTTTTTACGGATTTACATCAGGTGGTGATGGTCCTATGGCGGCTGACATAGCTCCAGATTTTGCTGGTACTGATTGTTTTAAATTTATTCAATTTGCTGGCACTTATATATTAATAAAGACATTTTACAACACGTTTGTAAGAATACATATTCTTTAGGTATATAGTTTGTATATCCATTTTAAAATCCTCATAAAGCAAAGGCAGGTAGCTATTTTGACAATATCTCTTTTAGAGTTTTTACTACGTGTTTTCATATACGTTTTTAAATTATTAAAACAAAATATAAGTGCAAACGATGTTTCGAGTATTTAACACTATGAATTTGTATAAGTAATGATATCTAAACAATTTTGTCAATTTCTATTAATACAGTTTTTCAAATATATCTTTTATTTTTGATTTTGGAAGAGTTCAAGCGCAATAGTGATATGTTTCTTTATTCAAGGGAATGCCTGCCAGTGAATTCCATCTCTGCATACAAGTATTGTATATATTTAGTCAGACTCTCTAAAGTGGAGGCGTGGAAGTTGGGAAAGAGGATAAAATGGGTTTTCCTGTGCATAACGCCGGTTACGAGTTAACAGATTTTCAGTAAATGGAATAAACTGCCAGAAGTCTTGAAATTAGAGAAACTAATTATAACTCATTTGTTTTCCTCTTCAATGCCTAAGCAATTTCGAAGTCCTTTAAGAACACCTGAAGATAACGAACAAGATGTTTGTATTATAACATCTCAATCATGTGAAACATTATGTAGGTGAAACCGAAAGTAGTACAGACACGAAAGTTTCTGAATACAGAAAAAAACATTCCAATACCAATTTTTTTTATATGAGAGATTATGACCATCAAATCGGTTAGTAACCAACAATGATTTTGTACAAAATAGATAACTAAACAATAACAACAATCGTCAGAAGAAGCCTAATCACACTCCTGCATAATTTCAAGCTTAACAGCTTTCTAACCAATTGTGTAATTAAAATAATTCGAAATTATATGGTCACATTGGCGTTGTTGACCTGTTTTCCTGCCAGATACCAACATGAAATTTAAAAAGACTTTTCAATGACAGAGTCTAAATTAGATTATTTAATGTTCAGACTTTTCACTCTTCTCCACATGACTAAGCAGAGTTTGATATGATCGCTTAGGTGTGTGATATCTCATGGCTCTATAATGGTGTATTTATCTACAGATTTTAACAAAATGTCAAAAATGGATCTCAATATTCTCACTTTTGTTCCTCTATCATGTCGAATACAATTATGTGGTTCATTCTGTTGGATAGCATTTTCTAAGTGTATTGTATACACTATAAAAACTGTAGTAAACATTAATCTAATTACTGGCTTTGGATCCAACCAAATAGATTTGCTACTTAGTTAAACCAGCTTAAGTTGTATATTAACCTAAGAAATGGTTCTTCGTTGAACTGAGTAGTTCAGTTATAAATGTTTAGTTCAGTATTGTATTAGTAATTCCACGTTTTAATCAAATATATCGTACAGGTATCCAATCAAGTTCAGGTTCGTTTCAACATTTTAGCAGAAAAGCTTATAGAAAACTCTAGAATTGTAATCCACGCTGCTTCTCAAGGTAGGTAAATTTTGTACGAACGTTTTTCGAAAAATATAACGTAGTATATTTTATACGGGAATTTTCTTACAGGATAATGGATTATAAACAGGTTTTCTTTGTTACAGGTACAGTTGTAGGAGTCATGCACACCATCATTGAAACTGCAGGTGTATTGGCACCTCTCGCGGTAGGACTATTGACACAACACAATGTAAGTAAGGATTGTTCTTGTGCTTATTGAATGTATATTTGACTATATCGAAGAATGATTGGTAGAACTATATGTATGATTATACGATTACAAGACTTACTAGTTTACATGTTATTACGGTAATTTAACTAATTATATTAAGTGTCGCTGAATTTGACTGTTAATGGTATAAATGCTGTGATGAATGTTTGATGGTTAATAGTAATGGAGTTGCTATGGTTGTCTGGTATTTCTGATTTAAAGGAATGTTTTAACCATACCGAAGGTACTCTCGATATAACTCAAAAACCTACTTGGTGAAAAATTAGTTGGCATATATCATAGTTACAGTATAGATAAGAATCAAGATAAAAATCGGTAGAAGGGCAAAGCTTTTAACAATGTGATGGTTAAGAGCGAAACGAAAACAATTCAGGTATGTAAGAAAAGACTGTGTAAGTAAGAATGACAAAAATGCCTTATTTAATGTATTTGGATATTTCAGCACACTTAAAATAACAGTCGTGGTAACCAGACCAAAACACTTCCGTTCTCCACGCAATTCGGGATATGATTGACCATTGGACTGACAACAGTAAATTCATATTTCAGTCATCATATTTATATTTTAGATAAATCATCCACATTCACATTTGTGTTATTTTCACATGTGTCTTGAAACTGTGCTTAAGAAGTTCATCTGCATCAAAAGTATTGAAATCTTTGAAAATAATGGAACTGATAAGCTGAGTGAACTAAACCCCGGGGGATGCTGTCTCAAAACCAAAAAATAAATAATAAAACTCAGTTTGATGATATAATTTTAGCTATGCTAATGAACATGTTCTAAGTATTTTTACCAGATCGATTTAACAAAACGTTAACTAAGAAAGATATTGATGATATGAATGAAATACAATTTCCTTTCTTATTTTATAAAGGAATGAAAGATTGTGGAAATATTAAAATAACTTATATCATTGAATTTAGGATGGATGTTGTTTAACAATAAATTTAATTCAAACTTTTTATTAACCTAATTTTTGTATTTTTTATATTATTTGGATTTCTTCTTAAATAGCTAATTTCACTAATCTGAACCTAAGATGTTAATCTTAATGAAACACAATGTATTTACTACTGGTGATCATGCGTAACTTGGCGGAATTCGATTAATAGCTTTGAAACTCGGGCTTGCAGACCACGATATGTTCTTCAGATTGATATGTTAAATATTATGTAGATTGTGTAGTGTTAGTGTGGTTGAGGAAGGATGATTTATTATTGTTTGTCATTGTATAACCAAAATCCAAATACCATACCAGAGTAAAAATAATGAGTACTTTCAGAAAGTTTTACTTAGTAGCAGGTTTTAATGTAATGTAATAAGCAACATTATTTAAGAACAAAATGAAAACTTAACTATTAAGTAGTGTAATAGAGTAATGAACTATCCCTGTTATTGACGAACATGCTTGTGTACTGTGACATTCATGTCTGTGCCAGTTACCGTAGACTCTACGAATACGATTATATATTGTGACGGTGTGGGATTATAATGTATTTACAAACGTTATTGATGTTTTATCAGCAGGTATAATTCCCCGTATGAAGTGTCCAGTATGTATAATTAAAATGCGCCACTAACATCCTGAGATCTCGTGAACAATCGAAACTTGAATAAACTTGAAAATGGCATAGATAATTTGATATATCTATAAATATACAGTCACATTAGCAAAAGATATATATTAATAGAAGGTATTAATACTATAGCATCAGGTCACCATATAAATGAAAGCAATCAAGAAATGTAATGGTCGTACCTGATTGATGGTAGAGAGTTAATAGTAGTGGATATATAATGTTTCTGGATCACCTAATGACGAGTGATCATTAAGATTCTAATCTTAAGTTAATAAAAAAAAATTAAATAAATGGAAGCACTAAAAAACTGAAACGCTATTGGTGAATATGTGGTAAAAAAGCAAAAACAAATACAAAAATTAATAAAAGAATTAAAAGAAAAAATAATTAGATATTTAGGAAGAAAATAATCATTTGAAGATTTTATCAAATCACACATCGAAAAATTTCAAGTCTTGAGAGGTACACTTAAAGATGTAAAAAATAAGTGGCGAAGGATTAATTGTGCATTAGTCCAACTAACTGATACATTATTAGCAGGAAATACTACTGAAGTTATACAATCAAATTGTTGGTTTATTAGACGTATTACTTAAAGAAAGAGTTATGCCAAAGAATATTACAGAAGATTTGTAATTAACGAACACTTATCATTATAGTATATCGAGGAGTATTTAGAGAAAAACTTAGTTGTATATCGGAAACGTTATAAATTCTATTCTGATATCAATATAGTTATGACAAGTTTCGTATTTTAATTCAGTGCTTCTGGCTTAGCAGCGTTTGCTATTGATCTTTTAACAGCATTAAGTTTAGGAGTTGGTATCATTGAAGTAATAGGGATATAATGTTAATAAATACTAATGTTAAGTTAAAATTACTGAGTGAATATGATATGATCTTAATGCTTTAGAAAGGAATTCGTGAAGGTATACTGCAGTGTTGTAAAAGATCTAGCAAAGCAAATAAGAAATACTTGAAAGATTATGATCGTGATAAAGAACATATTTATTTAGCTTATCTAGATTCTAATAACCTATATGGATGGCCAATGAGTCAATATTTACCCTGTGGAGCATTTTAATAGTCATAGAAATATTGATATAATGATGATTCTGAAATAGGATATATTTTAGAAGTAGATTTAGAATATTCAAAATAACTACATTAAAATCATTCAGCAAACAGAATAAAGACCAAAAAAATAAAATTAATGACAACTTTATATGATAATATAAAGATACCACCATAAAAATCTGAAATAATATTTATCATTAGGAATGAAGCTAAAGAAAATCCGAAGAATGTTAGAGTTCAAGCAATCTGATCGGCTTAAAAAATATATTGATGTAAATATACAAATGAGAACTAGGGATAGTAATGATTTTGATAAAGGTTTTATAAATTGTTAAACAATTCTTTATTTGGAAACACTATGGAAAATATTATAAAATGAGTTGATATAAGCTGTATTCTGATCCAAGCAAAGTTGAAAAATTAATTGTTAATCGAAACATTGAGGATAGAATAATATATACAGAAACGTTATCAAGTATTCATATGAATAAAACAAAAATAAAATTCAATAAACCACTTTGTGTTGGTATGAGCATTCTAGATCTTACGAAAACATTTATGTATGATTTCCACTATGAATTCATGAAACCAAAGTATGATGACGACTTGAAGTTATTATACCAAGATACTGATTCATATATTTACGAGGTAAAAAGAAACGACCTGTAGAAGGATGAAAAAGAAAATATTGATTTATTTGATATTTCAGATATCCGTAAGCAATTCTTATCACCTTCCGTTAGTAAACAAAAATTTTGTGGTAAAATGAAAGAGGTTTGTTTGTTTTTAATTATGCACAAAGCTACACAAGGGCTATCTGTGCTCTGCCAATCACCGGGTATCGAAACCCGGTTTCTAGCGTTGTAAGTCCGCAGACATACCGCTGTGCCACTGGGGGGCAAATGAAAGAGGAGAATAATAGAAAAATAATGAGTGAATTTGTAGAGCTTAGCTCTAAAATGTATTTTTTACAAATAAAAGATGATAAAATCTGTAAGAAGTCTAAAGGTATAAATAAATGTGTTGTTAAAACAGATTTACATTCGATGAACGTAAATAATGTTTATTTGGTCAGAAAGAAAGATGTAAAACTATGAATCTAATAAGAAGTAAAAAAACATGAAATTTACTCTTTTTCAAGTTAATATGAAAGTATTGAGCTCGAATGATGATCAAAGTTTATTTAGTCTTCCTGCATTTTCAATCATTTCTTCAATTAAATCGGATTTATTAATTAACTCAGATGGTAATACAAGTTTTTGTTGCCCTAAAAATGAAACATCTGAACCTCCATTTAAATCAATCCTCTAACATATTTTATGTTTTTTTATATAACTCATCTATATTATATTCACAACTAAAAAGAATACAACGTTAAAATCATTACAGAATAACATTGTATTCCTTTTAATTGTAAGTAGATGTTTTACGCAAGTGTCGTTTTAAACTATTCAATTTAGATTCTTCTTCTATAGCTAATTTTGGTTCTTCTATAGGAATAACTTGAGATTCCATTTTTTTTCAATTACTGTTAATGATTTCTTGTATCTTACTTACTAACAACTTCTACTTCTTTCTTATTTGTTTTGTTTTGATAGTTATTTTAATTTATTTGATATCTTTTTGTCTTTTTCACCGATCATTTATTTATAGTTAAGAACTTCAAGTTAAAGTTCACCTTATACTTATCCATCTTATAGTTAAATAAATCATAACTATTAAAGATTAGACAGAACCAGAAGAGTTTGAAGATCCTAATCAAAATCCTTTATTACCTAAACATTCGTTTAGACTTTTAAATTTTAATTCTTTACCCATCTGGTTGCAGAAAGTGAAATCTATTGTTAAACCTAATCTATGATCAATTAAACTATGATAATTTATGCCTGTGTACAAAAGATATAGGTGAGCTTAAATATGTAAAATTACAAGAGAAATTTACAATCTTTGATGATATAGATGGAGATGTTTTACAATCTGTCAGTAATAAAAATGTTATAGAATTATATAAAAAAATATAAGAAAGAAACATTATTCTCTAATAACTTAGAATATATGATGGGTGTTTATAGCTTAGATCCAGTGACTAAAAATTACTGAAAAAATGTTTTCTGTGACTATTCCTGATATTTTTGATAATTAATTCGATAAATATAAATACAGATAAGGAATAAAAATGATAATTCCACAAAAGCATGTAGATTTCGTTCACGTTTGAAGTGACAGACCTTACTTAAACAGTCAAACTATTCCTTTTCTATTTGACATCTTTGAAAATTCTCCTACAAAAACAGATGAGCGAAGTAATACACCCAGAGTATTACTTATCCCTTCTATGGCTATTGATATGGAGACTGTTTTATTAATGCACCGAAATTTGTAAGATCAAAATAACCTATTTAATGAAAGAAGACTATCTCTACATAGTAATTTCGTAAAGGCTTTAATGAAACGATCCTGTATGAAGTAGTTTTAGGAAGACGATACGAAGCCTTATTCAAAGTCCTTACACTCTGTTTAGTCAGGATCCTAGCAATCTATTATGGCTTACTTGATACTCCATGATGCTTGACGGTAAACCAAAAGATCGATGTAGACAAAACAATGTTTATACATAGAATACGCGTATTGAGTGCTAAATGCGCCAGACGTAACCTGTATTTGATTTTTTGCCGCGAAGAATTGTCACGTGAAATTCACTAGTTCCTGGTTTTTGTCTCTAAAATATAAAATTCACTGACTCTCCAGGTGAGTGTAGATACAGCTGTTGTCTTATTACTGCTTATAGTATAAGTACCGCATTTGCATTATTGCTGTTAGTACCACTATTGTTTTGTTACTGTTGATAATTGTGACAGATTTGCTAAATAGGTTCAGTTTGCTTTTGTTTTCAAACTATAAATCTTTGTGTTTCAACAAGATTGTTGTTTCTAGTTTTAAAGTTTATTTTTCAATAAAATCCTACTGTATGTGAGTATTTAATCTGAAGATAGATGTTACATATGATAATTGTAACAATACTAAACAGGCCAGTATGCAGCAGTGGAGGAAGGTGTTCTACCTAGTTGGAGGGATTAATGTCGCTGGTACTTTGCTGTTTGTGTTGTTTTCTACTGCGGAACCCGAGCCATGGGCTGTAGAATATAAAGAATACCAGGAGTTGAAAATCGTCCTCAGCAAGGAAGATGGCAGTAGTGAAGAGGACTAAATTCAACAACAAACACTTAAATCTTCGAAATTCTGAAAGTTTCTGTAGAAACACACACTTGGCTATTTTGTTCAATGCAAAGTATAGTTAGTATCATGCTCTGTCTTAGACTGCATTAACTGCAAATCATGTAATCATCAATTAAGATTGCAAATATTCTGTAAGATTCTGGTAAAACTTTTCGTTAGGAAATTTGCTATTGCTTCATGGTATAGTTTAATAGGGAAAGTTTGTCATATTCCTCCGTTTTAGTTTCATGTCGGATGAGTTAAGAGAGAGTATATTGGGATTTTAGTAGCATGCAATTTCTGTGTTTTAACCTTTTTTATTCTCAACAACGTAAATAAAGTTTATTGACGATATATATATTTGTTTATTTTGGCTATTTCGTAACCTTTTCTCCAATTTTTAAAGTACCAGTCTCCTAAAAAAACGTTAACCAATAATGCAGTATCCAAACAAATAGTTTGCAGAAACACAATTCGCTAATATAATAATAGGTAGCCAAACAACGATTTATAAGCGTAAGGCAAAGTTTTGTTGATGGTGTAACATACTACATGAAGGAGACAGACCGATGTTTTGTCGAAACATGTAATATGTTACACCAACAATAAAACTTTTCCTTATGCTTATAATATGTTGTTTATCTACTTATTATTGTTCAAACAAATGTAGACGTGTGCAAATATTTTGGTCAAAGTTGAGCAGTTTTTGTTGAATACCTTTGCACAAGTGGCTTATATTTAGACCAAATTTGTTACCTAATTGTAGATTGTAAAACTCTTTAAGTGAATCAATTTGAAAAAAATCTATTAAAGTAAAGCATGTTTTTCTATCAAATAACCTTTCAGTATTTTGAGTGTAAGGGTAAGAAAGAATATATTCAATCAAAATTGAATATTTTATATCTCATATATTTATTAATGGATTGCCTTGAAATCTGGTATGTGAAGTAAGGGTCCAGTAGAGCACAACCATTTAAAATATGTGACAGTTTGCATTTCTACAGTTCGAGCTCCAGAAACTGAAAAATTGATAAACTATCACTCCTGAAACACATACAACATGTCCTGCAGGTTGTTTTGGCCACACGACACACTACTGTGTATCTTGATGTTACACACAAATCCTATTAAACATAATGGTGACAATGCTTTTGCACAAGTATTTATGATATTGATGTTTTACATGTTTGTACAAGCTTAATTGAAAATATCTAAATAAACAATGTGTGATGATATATAGTAAAGTGAAAAATTAAATACAAATAAAAGTCCATTGATAACACTTTTGACATAACTTTCCTGTTAAGTAATGATAATGAAGTAATGTATCTGACTGACTACTCATTAAGCACAGTAGTGCTTATTATGTATGCATGGGCAAAAAAGAAATGGCTGCCGCATTTAATCTATTAGTCTACGATGCTTACTAATAACTGCTAAAGTTGACTTATAGCCTTATTTGAGCATCTAATTTCCATTATCGAGTGTTTCACTGGCTGTATAACAGTAATACTATTCTATTCTTCTACCTAATGAATATTTGTAGGGAAATGATATAAAAGGAAAACTACTACTTAGCAGTGAGTTCAGTTTATAAGCATATACTATTTCCGTGTTTCATAAATAACAGTTTCATTTCTGGTCGCTAGATGACAGCACAAATTGTTCTTATATAATGACAGTTTTTGAATTTTCACCACGATATTACTACTAGAGTATTTAATTTTAGTTTGGGAGTAAATTTCAAGCACATTATGTCTTAATACACCGTATATATGAAAAAACGTTTTCTACTATTATGGAATTAATTCTAATGGAAATTACTTCATTTAATAAGAGTTAGTTTCAAAAAGTCTTTTTATATTATAACAGTAAAATTTAGTTAGGTTTACATCTTAATGTGAGAATCAATTTGGAAGAAACTACACTCTAGCACGAGAGTAAACGTAACATAAGTTACGTATCTATAATAATAAAAGGGCGTGTCTGTGTGTGTGACCGCCATAACCTGAAATTTTGCACAGATACTAAGTGGACCCTGAGAGTGTGCACCTGGGTATTATTACTTATCCATGTTCTTGCGCGCGTGCATGTGCGCATTGTTTTATGAGGCAAGATAGGAAAAAAAACACATAGAAAAGAAAAGGTGACCACCATATCTCCAAGAGGAAAGAGCCTAGAAACCTGAAATTTTGCACCCATACTAAGTAAACCCTGACGGTGCGTGCATAATGAGGGAAGCTAGAGAAAAACCCTATAGAAATGATTTGATACCTTATATTATACATAGAAATCACAGACAGTCAGACAGACACGCACGTGTGTGCGCGCATCGTTTTATTTCTATTATTATGTTTTTTAGGCAAGTTAGCGAAAAACCAACTAGAAAATAAGTGTGAATATTGTTATCAAGGTTTTATAAATGAATGAAATTCTCTGAGGTACTATCAACTCAAAAATAATCAAAAACATCAGTAGGAACTTTTCGGTGCACTAACAATATCTTCTTAGTTTCCAAGTCAGTGAATATTATTTCTCTCAACAATAGCAGAATCGACTTTTTGTGTAACAGTGACAGTTTTTTTCCCAAAACCATGATTATACTGTTTCTTTTAACAATAGCAGTACAACGTTTTTGGTGCATCAGTGACACTTTCTTAGCTATCTAATAATGACTATAGTTTTTCTTAATAACATTCAGCATGAATTTTTGATTTATCAATGGCATTTTTGTTTTGGTTACCAAATCAGTGTACACTGTTTTTTCAATATTGTGATGGGGTCATTAAGAATCAATACTCTCACAATAACTGTATCAAACATTAGCTAATGGTGTATTTTCTTACATTACAAATAGAAATCAGACACGCACGTGCGTGCGCGCATGCGCCTCCGCATCTTTTTAATCTGGCAAAAAATCACATAGAAAAGTGGTTTGACAGTGTGTTTTGGTAACAATGCGTTCCAGCAATAGTTTTTACGTCAAATTGTCTTAGTAATAAAAGTATAACCTAATATTGTTGTTAAGAGATTTGGGGGCAACAAGTCAGAGGAAAGTTACCTTTATAAACAGGCTACATCCCGTAAAGGAGCAACAAAAGTTTATAGCTTATACTTTTATGCTAAAAAGGGTTCAGAATACGTGAATTGACATAGTCATCTAGAATAAGTCAACCTAATAATCCAAGCGAAGCCGTATACTTTCGCTAGTTACTGATATATATTAGTGAATCCTAAGAAAGTTACGTCTTAGCATGAAAATACCACACAAGCAAGTTTAATGTCATGGCATGAGTGTTGATCTCAAACAATGGACTTCTAGCAGAAGATCATTGTATCGCATGAATTCTAGAAAGTTAGTTCCGCTAGCAACAGGAGATTTTCAGATATTGGACTTTAGGACATGTTTTTTTTTCGTGTTGCAACAATGTAAACAGCGAGAGGAAAGAGATTCAATTCCAAACACAATTAATAAATATTTAATTTCACAAGTAACAGAGAACAAGGCAATGCAAAATACTAAACTCTAAAAACAATATTATAATAATTACAGATCTTATGGTTGTGTTGAACTGAATAAATCTAAACTTAAAATTGAAATTAACAGAATAATTGCTCTTGTTATTTCAGGTACCCACACACCACCAAAATTAACCTCAAATACAAGAAGAAGAAAAACGCTAACGCAAAAACAACCACAAGTTAAATGAAACAGCTGCAATGTTCGTCCAAAGCATAGTATAAAGTATTCTGCGAACTCCGAGTTTTGATCACCTTTTGAGCCACCTTTCTGTTCCTTTTTAACAGATAATTCCCTAAAGATTCTATGTTCACTGCTCGATTATATGCCAAATCACTTGCTCTGGATAAAATTAAAGCTAAAGAATACAGTAATTGTATAATCTATATTATCTCACTTTGCTCTTTAAAGGCTCTGGAATCATTTAATAATAGCAGTATAAATTTCAAACAAATCAAGATTTAGCATAAATTGTTATAATCTTAAAACAAATAGCATCATAGTATGAAAATAAATATCATGCAAGTTATGTCTCAGTGTGACAGGAAGGTAGAACATTTTAAGCAAGATAACACTACATGACAGTAGGTCTTAAATAATTTTTAGGATAAAAGTAAATTTCAAGCAAACAGCATTGTAGTCTATCAGCCTCCATGCAAAATATTAATAGAAAATCAATTTGAAGTTTCATAATTAACCTTACGATGTTTATGTCTAGTATTAAAGTAGATCTCCAGCAAGTAATACATTAGTTTCAAAGTTAATTTCTAGACGTTAAATCTTACTATGAGAAGATATATCCAACTTTATATCCTAGTATGAGTCTAAAGCTGAAATATACTGTCAAGTACTTACTGTAATATTCAGGTATTCTAACTCCAATCATTGTTGATCATCTAAGCCTAATTCTAATTGATCACTATATTTTATTTAATACCAATTAGTTCTATATTCCACTTTTCGGATGCTAATTTCTACTTTTAAATGGAAATCCTGAAAATGTTTGTATGTGGTGGCATAGAACTGATTCAATCCTTGATTGTTTTATTAAAGGGTCTAGTGGGTTATCCAATTTTTTATGGTCTATCCCCTTATCCAATAGTAAAGTAACTATTTAAATTATTTGAATTGAGCTA